GGCCAGCACCTCCCCGCTGACCTCGCAGTCCTCCTACAGCCTCCTGAGCCCGGCCGACGGCGCCCGCGAGCGCGCCGACTACGTCAACTCGGCCTTCACGGAGGACGAGGCCCTGGCCCAGCACTGTCAGGTCGAGAAGCCCCTGAGGCACCCCGCGCTGACCGAAGCGGCGGTGGCCGTAAAACGGCCGCCCCCGTACCAGTGGGACCCCGTGCTCGGGGAGGACGTTTGGGTTCCTCAGGAAAGGACAGCACAGACTTCGGTGCCCAACCCCCTGAAACTGCCCCCTCTGATGGTTGGTCAGAGCCAGCACCTGGACGTGTCCCGAGTGCCCTTCGTCTCCCCCAAGTCTCCCGCCAGCCCGACTGCCACTTTCCAAACAGGCTATGGGATGGGAGTGCCGTATCCCGGAGGCTATAACACCACCCCTTTGCCAGGAGTGCAGGCTCCTTGCTCCCCGAAAGATGCCCTGTCCCCAGCACAGTTTGCACAACAGGAGTCCGCCGTGGTTCTTCAGCCGGCCTACCCGCCCAGCCTCTCCTACTGCGCCTTGCCCCCCATGTATCCAGGAAGCAGCGCCTGCTCGAGTTTACAGCTGCCACCTATCGCCTTGCACCCCTGGAATTCCTACAGCACGTGCCCGCCCGTGCAGAACCCCCAGGGCACCCTCCCCACCAAGGCACACTTGGTGGTGGAGAAGCCCCTCGTGTCCCCACCACCCACTGACCTCCAAAGCCACCTGGGTACAGAGGTGATGGTGGAGACCGCAGACAACTTCCAGGAAGTCCTCTCCCTGACGGAGAGCCCAGTCCCCCAGAGGACAGAGAAGTTTGGGAAGAAGAGTCGGAAGCGGCTGGACAGCCGAGCAGAGGAGGGAAATGTTCAGGCCATCACCGAGGGCAAAGTGAAGAAGGAGGCTCGGACTTTGAGTGATTTTAATTCCCTGATCTCCAGCCCCCGTCTGGGGAGAGAGAAGAAGAAGGTGAAGAGTCAGAAAGACCAGCTGAAGTCGAAGAAGTTGAATAAGACAAACGAGTTCCAGGATAGCTCGGAGAGCGAGCCGGAGCTGTTCATCAGCGGGGATGAGCTGATGAACCAGAGCCAGGGCAGCAGGAAAGGCTGGAAGAGCAAGAGGAGCCTGAGGGCGGCCAGCGAGCTGGAGGAGTTCAAGTGCAGGAAGGCCAGTGAGAAGGAGGACGGGCGGCTGGGCAGCCAGGGCTTCGTGTATGTCATGGCCAATAAGCAGCCGCTCTGGAACGAGGCCACCCAGGTGTACCAGCTGGACTTTGGGGGGCGGGTGACCCAGGAGTCAGCAAAGAACTTCCAGATTGAGCTGGAGGGACGGCAGGTAAGAATCCTTGTCCCAGGGCGTGGCCAGGGTGCGACTTTCTCCCCCTGACCCGTCTCTGTGCTTTGGCCTTTGAGGAACATTTTTCAAAAGCCCAGATAGGAAACGTGGGAAACAGCTGATGTCTTCTAGGTAGGGCCGGCGGGGCTCTCTTTTATTTCTCTCCAAAGTAACGCATGTGCTGATTTTTTAAAGCCAAGTGGTTCTACATGATCCATGAGGAAAATAGCAGGCACCTGCCCTCTCCCCAAACCTGCTCTCCCAGAGGCTCTCTCTTCCAAGTCTGTTTGCTTTTTTCTGGCATTTGCCACCATGTTTGTAAAGAACGTGTTTCTGCTTGTATTTATTGATTTTCCAGTTTGGGGCGTCATATACTGACTTCTTCCTGAGGAACGTGAGGGTTCATTTGCTTCACACTAATGCCCCCAGCACATGTGAACTGTCCCTTCCCCCTTTTCTTAGGTTAATCGACAGTCCCTCATTGTGCCACTAAATATAATCTACATCTGCGTCACATATTATGGTCTAATGACATTTGTTTTTTTATTGTGTGGGTTTTTTACCCTAGACGTAATAATTATCCAGCTTTTGTTTGCTTATTTCTCCGTATATCTATTACCAAGTCATTCCCTGAGTCTCTGGCAGAATGTAGACCTCTTGGTGCACTTAAGCACTCGGGGTAGTTTGTCAGTTCTTCCTGCCCCATCCTAGAATTGTCGCTGCAGTCCTGCTGCGTAACTGTTGTTCTGGGACCACCCTTCTCCACTGTCCTGGAAGTCCCTTCACTGCTCGTATTTAAGTCTCATGGTCATTAATTCACTCAACAAATATTTACTGAACAGCTGCTATATGCCTGGCAATCCTCTGGGCCAGGAGTTGGCAAATTACGGCCCAAAGGCAGGCCCATCTGCCCCCTCTTTTTATAAATAAAGTTTTCTTGGAACACAGCCACACCCAACCACTTAAGTATCGTCTACGCTGCTTTCGCCCTGCAGCAGCAGTTAAGTAATTATGGCAAAGTCCATGTACCTACAAAGTCTAAAATGTTTATTAAGAGAGTTTGTGAACCGCCTGTTCTAAGTGCTGGAATTAAGAGCACTGAGGAAAACAGAGGAAGGTCCCTGTCCTCATGGAGTTCACAAAAATGGAAGAAAGACCATAAACAATTAAGTATGTGGAACGTCATGAGAGTAACATAACACAGTGCGGTCACTGTAGGCTCTGGGGTGACAGACAGAGGAGAGCAGCTCAGGAGGGGACGAGGGGAGCTCTGCAGGTCCCTTGCTGAGCAGTGATGTCTCACAATTACAAGTATGTCTCTCTCAGCCTGTAGATTCTTTTTTTTCTACCTTTTCTTTCTCCTTCGTGGAAAAACCACTTCCTTTGACCTGTGGGGCCTTCTGTTCTCTGAACTTTGCCCATGGTCTCCCGACTGCATTATTTGACGCGTTCCTTATCCTGTTATTTCCAACAAACTCAGAGTTAGGTTGAGAAGCTCAGCAGAGTCACTGTTGTTGGCAAAAATCTCACAGACGGTGGTGCTGTCTGCTTCTGTCGGGAGCCCGAGGAAGTTCTCCTTTAATGTCTCTGCTTCCCCGCCCCACCTCCCGCCCCGCCCCAGGTGATGCAGTTCGGAAGGATCGATGGCAGCGCGTACATTCTGGACTTCCAGTACCCCTTCTCAGCCGTACAGGCCTTCGCGGTGGCCCTGGCCAACGTGACGCAGCGCCTCAAGTGAAGAGACCGCCGTCGGGACGAGAAAGAGGCGCAGAGCCTTCCCAGGGAGGTCTGATCGCAGACGCGGGGGGAGCCCGCAAGGCCTGGTCCTGGGGGGCCGGAAGACAAGGGCACAACTGGAACCGTCTGTCAGGCCCGGGCGAGGGCAGTGACTCTCCATTGTTTGTTTGGGTTTTTATTATCCTTTATTGTCTTTATTCTTTTTTTTTTTTAAAACGGAAGCAAAATACAGGAGAGTGGAATTTGGAAGCAAAGGGTGCGAGGCACCTGGTGTTGTTTAGGAAGCGTGATCGCTGGGGGCGGGGGCTGCTGGGTGTGCTGTGTCAGCTGCGGGACAGGGGCCCTTCCGAAGGAAGGCAGGCTGCCGCAGAGCCTGCTTCTTCTAGGCTGGGACTGCGCGTCGTTTGCACTCTCTGCAACGTCTAGCTTTTATTATTCCTCCAACATCACCACTAGTCTAAAAAAGAATTAAAAAAAGAAAGAAAGAAACCAAAAAATCCTGAAGGTACAGGTTCTCTTGGAGGGACATTTAATTCATGCATACTATGTTCTTACTCCAGAGGGGACCTGATTAATGAGGGGTATTTTGGCAAATGCACTGTGTTTGACTAAGAAAAGTAGGCTTTCTATGGGGGTGCTATTACCAGGTATAAATACGGTTTGCTCACGAGGACGTAGGGGAAAGGACGACGGGGCAGGAAGGCACTCCTGCGCGTGCACACGTGGGTGGCTCGCGTAGCGTCGCTTGGAGCAGTACAAGGGCTACGCTCCTCTTCCGAGGATGTTTACATTGAAGACTCCGCTAGTTTTGTAATATGTCAGAATTCCATTGGCTCAGTGATCATCCAGTCTGACCGACTTCGAGGGGAAAAGACCCCCGTGTGCTGGGGGCGGCGGTTTTCAGCGGCGGGGGTGGGTCACTGGTCACCCACTGCTGAGAAGCGGTCTTTACTCCCTCTCCGCTCTCATTGTTTGATCTGGGAAACGTGGTAGCAGACGTTACCTTTCCCATTAGATAACACCATTCTACTCTTTCTAAAATTGCTGCAGATACTGATTTGAAGGCACTCCTTTCCTCTTTTCGGCTATATTAAAAATTCAGTTGACTATAAATGTTTTCCAACAGATTAGAAGTGTAGGAAAAAAATGTTAGGCATTTGCCAGGATATGAAAAGACAGAGTTATAATCAACTCTTTGACAAGAGCCCCACAAGCTTCTCTACCAAAAAAAAATTGTTTATTAACTGTACAGACTGTTTACTGAGGAGACAGACCACTGGGAGAACATGGTTAAAGTTGCAGTACTTAATGTAGTTTGTTAACTACTCTTGTTAATTGCAAAAATCCGCTGAGATTACGTCTTCCCACCTCCCTCTGATCCCACCTCCCCCTCCCCAGGGGACACGCTGGGCAATATTCAGCCCTGATAACAAGACCCAGTTGGTAGTTTTCCATTACCGACTTCTGCGATGTTATTTAGGGCAGTGGCACACGAGCTGTCTGCTGGTTTAGGGCCCTGAATTTGGGTTTTGTTTAAAAACAAACAAGTAGAAGATACTGCAGAAAAGTATTTTCCAAAAAAAAATTTTTTTAATCCTCTGTTTTAGTTTAAAAATTAGAAAAGAAACAGGCCCGGAGCAGGATGACATCACTCACCATTTTCTTCAGATCCTGAAGAGACGCAGGTGAGGTTTTAAATATGGTGAAGGACATCTCCTAGCTGATACCAGAGTTTCCCAATTTATATTTTGAAATATTGAACCTGGTTCTTTGGTGGGTAAATTTTTCCATAAAGAATTTATCTGTGTATTCAGTTATATAATTCTTTTATATGAGTTTCTGTAGCTTAATATGATGTTTCAGTGCTGATGATTAGCTGTGCAATAATGGTTAGCCTATTTCTAGATAATTTAAATGCCATTCCCCTGTTTTATTGTCCAAGAGTTAATTATTTATCTTGCTTTAATAGTGTTTGTAGGAATTATTTTGTTACTATGTTCTGGTGAGTTATGCCCATTTTATTATTTATTTAGGAAAATAGTATGTTTGTAACGACTTATTTGGTGGCAGGATATTTTGCTGCAAGAAATAAAGAGGATATGATAGAAGGTTTTTTTGCTGGACAATTTGTAACTTTTTCTAATTGGGAAAAATTCCTATTAATCTTTTAAAACTAATTTTTTTTTGCATTTTATGATCTCAATTATATACAAAGGAGAAGATTTCTTTGAGATAACATATTCTAAAATAATATTTCCCCTTCTGAAAATTTTATTTTTAATTTAAAGTAAAAGGTGATATGAAATGAGACTTGTGAGAATGAGAGTAGCAAGGAAAGGACTTATTGCTGGTAAGTTTCAGTTTTTAAAGTTCTGATTGGCTTTTAAGATATAAAGACCACAAAAGGGTACATTTACATTCTTAGTACAATCAAACATAGAGGAAAATCCTGGGAGTGAAAACTACAAATACGTGTGAAGAAAAAGTGAGTATTTGTAGCAAATAATTAACTAAGTTCCTAGCTCAGTCCCCAAAAGACCTTTTCCCCACATGGGGGCAGAGGCCTCCATGGGTGTTCTGCATACATGGGAGTCCACCTCTGAATGGGAGGCAGCTGCCCAGCTCTGCCGCCCTGGGCTGAAGGAGGAGGTAATCCCATGTGCCAGTCGGTCAGAAACAGGTGTCTGCAGCAGTTGTGATGCAGTGTCTTTTCAACTAATGGTGATTTTTTCACTTACTGTAATAATTGTTTTCATTCAGTCAGCCTCAATTCATTAAATACCACTGAAGTCAGTACTTTGAGGAGCAGAGTTCTACATACCCAGCACTTATTAGTATCAGTTTATGAATATTAAGATACTTTATTGAACCTCTAAGGTTAAAAACATTAGCCCATTGGTCAACTACATAAAGAATACATGCCTTTTTGAGGGAAGCAGTATATTAACAAACATAAAAACCAATGTTAAATTTGGTTTAACCTCATCAAACCAGAGGCACAGCTTTGAGTATGGTGTACCCATTGAATGTATATCCTAAGAAAATCTGGTACCAAGAAAGCAGGAAAATGTCAGCGCTCTCATGGCAGTCTAAGCCAAAGCGTCTGCAGTGTTTCTCATCCATGGCCGTTGCTTCCTTGCGGAGTGTCCCACAAGGGCACGTGAAAATGTGTGATCACAGCAGAAAGTCAGGAGACCCCAGGACTGAGCCGGCTCTGCCACACAGTTGGCGGATGACCTTGGGCCTCCATTTGTCCATCTGTAAAATGAAAGGCCAGCCTGGACAATCTTCTAAACACCGGTCATGCCTCTCGAATGGCCTGAGGGCCTGAATTGTAACAGGTTCATCATTCCACTTTATAAACTTGGATGGTAGGTTTTTAAAACATTGCCCTTTGTAGAGAAATATTTCTTTTCCTATATTAATGAGCTACCTACTGAATGTAAACCAGTGTTTAAGATAATGTCTTTGGAAAGTTCACCTCTAGAAACAGATGTGTTTGGAATCATGTTTGTTCTCATAAAATTATGCAAAAGCACTGATTCCAGGAAAGACAGAGGAGCCTCCCCACGAGTGTGGACACAGCACCCTGGAGAGCAGACCTCAATAAGCACCACCACTTGCCCTGCAGGCTGTAGAGTGGGTTGAAGAGAGAATAAGGGCATCTCTGCCTCGGCTGGCCTGCGTTCTTGAGTGTGTTTTGCAGCGTCCCACTGGCATAGTGTTCGGATTTCTTGAGAAGGAACCCGCTGTGTCCTCGTGTGGACCGTCTAGCTTTTGGCCCAGTCAGCGGTTGTGAACAAAGTTAGTTGAGACAAAGTGTGTCCAAAATGCTGTTTGAGTTCCTGGGATTTTGGAATAGCACACACCTCAAACTCTTCAACATTTGTGTATCTCCTTACCTCTGGCCAATGAAACTCTGAAGGGTTGTGGTTTCCATTTCTTTGGCTTTGTGCAATTTTCTTGTAACTTTTCTTGTACCTATATTTTCTCTTTATAAGTTCTTTTACAGGGAAGGGTTCGGGTTCTAAGACCACGTTGTTGATTGTAGATAAAAATTTTTTTCGTGTTGTAGAAAAGCATGGGTTATGTGTTTGACTGAAAAAGGCACTGTGTTATTTACCAAAGGGGTATCGTTTTTATGTTTGTTTATAAATGCATTATTTTGTTACTGCAGATTTGGACATAATTTCTGAGTTTATTACTACTGGCATTTTCTTTTTCCTTTTTTTTTCCCCCCAAACTGTAAGTGCGCGACGCAGGTGCACAGGTCCCAGACCAAACCAGACCACCAGCATGTTGTTGTCCCCGCCTTGGGAGTGGCGTGCTGCTTTGGACGCCTGAGTTCCTCTCTCACTGGTTTGTTTGTTAGTTTTTTAACTCAGCATCCTTTGTTTTACTTTCCAAGCAAGATCTGTTGAGACCCCCAATTTGCATTCTAATACGCTTACCCTTATTTGCCTCTCTTCTTATGTATTTTGTGTATTAGATTGTGCAGGAGGTTTTCTAGAAGGCATTAGTGGTTTGCATTCAAAATGACGTGGTTTGTCCAAATTATTTTGTCTTTATTATTGAGATGGACTAATCTTATTTTTCCCTTGATGATTTGAAGTTGTAAGAGTTGTCCAGCTATTGCTTAATAAAATTTTGCAGTTCCAAAAAAAATCAATTACTTGTGTGCAGAATTCAGCCTGGTCTTGAGTCCGTTAAGAAGAAATCACCGCTCCCCACTGGCACGACCCATTGTCCTGATGCTTCTCCAGTCCCTGGGTTACTGCCAACCATTGCCTGACACCTGAGATCTTTGTCATCGTTGCTCTTTCTGAGAGGTCAGAGATTGTATTGTCTTCTTGATGGGTTGGTTTGAGTTTGTGTTTATTTTTTCCTTGCTTTTTAAAAGAGGATCCAATTCAGGATGCCTCCATCATAGCACCTACAAGATCAGAGATGCTAAGTACAGTGGCATCTTCTTTGTTAATCTGCAGCAAACTCAATAAAACCACGTTTTGAGCAGTTCCACTACACTTGCTGATGTAACTGTTCATCGTTGTTATTACTAGTAAGCCTTAGTGCACCTCCTTGCTCTGCCCTAGGATTCCCTCTGACCCTGGGAGGGAGGCCGGGGCTGGGAGTCACAGGAGGCTCAGCTGTAAACACTGTAGTTCCTATGCGTGTTTATAGAACTACCTACCCATTCTTTTTTTTTTAGAGATAAAAATAGGCATGTAATCACTCAGGCTTTAGGAGAAAGAACCAAAACCACTGTCAACTCTAACAAATTCTGATCATTAATTAAGTTTTAAAATAGTCATTGGACTATAAACCTGTGCTTTAAATAGTACTAATCATACAAAGGTAACTAATCTGAATTTTGCATGAGAATCAAAGTATGTCTCGTTTTATCATGAAAGTTTGTGAACTTCAAGTTAACATTCCTTGTAGCTTCCCCACTTAAACCAGGTGGCAAGGAGGCCTGACTGAAAACAAACCCTCTCCTCCCCTCCCCAGATCAAGAGACCAGGACCCTAACAGCCAGGCTCTGTTGGTCTGCGCTCAGGACCATGTGTGGGAGCAAGACTGCCTTCCACCAGCCCTGCCCCGTGGGCAGCTTTGGGGCCGTTCAGTGTGGGTTGGAGTCTCCAGAAGTGATTTATTTTTAAAGTAAGAAAACTTGGCAAGTCTCTTTCCTTCTACAAACTTATTTTGAAAAGGATGCATTCTGGTTTTTTTCTGGTGCTCAGTGTTCTTTTTCTGGTAGTGTTCAGAGAATAGGGAGTGAGCTTCGCTCTCATACCCTGACCCTAAAAACTCATTGCAGAAGAGAAATGACTGCCTCTTGGAGGCTGCAGTGCAAGTTGTCAGGAACGCACAGCTAAATCTCCAGACTGCATTACAAAGTGGATACCTTTTGCCTTTCTTTCCTTTCTGGAGGAAATTAAAGCACTGAGAGCTAGAAATGATTCCTGGATTCCATAGATGAAAAACCAGTCCTGAAATAGAATCAGAGATTTCTGGGTCACATTAATGAAAAGACCTGGTTTATTCCCAGCTTCTCACTCTGGTGTTTCCTAACGATTTGCCTGTAATGAGTCCTGAGCTACTCACACTTAGTCATCTCCAGTGAAGAGAGGCTGTGTAGGTGGGCCACCCTCCCCCGTCAGCAGGTGAGCTCACCCTCTCGGCAGCTGAGAGTGAGCACTCGCTCGTTCTTGAGCTGTCAGAAGATCAATCAGTTACTCACCCAGGCCACCCAGGCGTCGCAAAGGAGCAGGTCTGTGTGGATTTCTTTCTCTGCATATCTTAGAAACAGTTGCTTCATGCACTAAAGAATGTGAAACCCTCCACGGAAAGAAGGGGCTCGTTTCTTAAATCTGCTTAAAACTCCTGTTTGATAACTTCAAATGATAGAAGGTAGCCCAGCATAGAAGCCGGAGCGCGGCGGGAACCTGAGTCAGGGGTGAGGATACTCTTGCTTTCCCGTTTCTGGTCTCCTGCCTTCCACATCGCTGCCCTCTCTCTGTAGGGAGTGGGTTCTGTGCGGTAGATGACCTGAGAGCCCCGCTTTTGATGCTGCCCTTGAAAAGGGAGTGGAGCCTTCAGTGCAGTGTGAAAACTTGTTCCTTGAAGCCTTGCTGCTGAGGCAAAGTAAAAGGCTCTGTGGGAAACTATAAAACGATAGCACAGAAATTACTGAGTTTATCTGAAGGAGAAGTGAATCTGAGGAATTTATTAAACCCCAGCCACCTTTCAGGACAGGGTGCCAACACTTTGCAGATCGTTTTTCTCTTTGCCGTATGAAATGTCTGTCTTCCTCCCAAGTTGATGAATCAGAAATTCAGATAGCGCGTTGCCATTTAGCTCCTTCTCTGTTCCGGGCACTTTCTGAGCCCAGGGATTACGCAGCATTTTCACTGCATGAGCAACAAAAGCTCCCTCCCCCGCCCCCCAAGAAGAAGACCGAGTGCTGGGTCCGGGAGCTTGAATGTTGAAGGCTGGCGGCATGAAAGTATCTCAAACTACTCATCAAATTGCCTCCTCTTAGTCAAGCTGGCAATCTTAGTCATTTCCACCATCTTCAGCCATTAGGGAGCAGAGAGAACCTTGTGTTCCTCTCTTCTTCAAAGTAAAAGACAGCGGCCAGTCCTGACACCATTCCCCGTTGTGTGCTGGGGACCAGCGGTCACCGTGCATCCTTTTAGTTTGGCCTCCGGCTCATTCGTGGTTTCTCCTTCCACGTGAATTAACTCAGTGTTTCCTGCTTCCCCAGGTGTCACCTTGAGGGCCACCCAGGAACCGCCTGGCAAAATCTTGCACTTGAGCCAGTAGTGGGTACAGCCCCTGTTATTAAGAGGAGAAACCCTTTAATCCTTAAATCCTGTTCTTTCACTGTCTGGTATCAGAAACCTGGGCTTTACCGGGGTTACTTTTTCTTCCTCTCCCTGGCAAAAAGGTGAGCGGCCCAGGCAGCACAGTACTTGAGACCCAAACATGTGATGGACTCCACTGCTTCCTGTGTGTGAGCCCTGGGCTGTGCGTTCCTCAAGTACCTGCACTGACTGCAGGAGGCCCTGAAGTCCCAGGATCATGGTTTCTTGTCAGTACTGAAGTCTGACCCCTTTTTTTAAGTTATGAGAGAAAACATCTCTCTGAGAGAAAGAGATGGTCTCCATTCATTCCATTAGAATAACCGGCCCCAGCCACAGCTTCCCATCCAGCAGTGTGGGAGGAAAGTCCGTCAGCGCCAAGAGGTTCATCTGATGACACTGGACCCCAGGCCAGTGGGGAAGGCAAATTACTCTAAAAGCTGCAGAATGTTGGGTTTACTGAACTCAGGATTTCTGCCCTGCCTCAGCCACTTGGAGTTGGCCTCCGTCCCCTGGCCCTTCTGTTTCCTTCTGTTCCCATCAGCTCCCTTGCTTCCAGGGCTCCCCTCCCGTGGGGTGAGCTTATGAACATCCTCTTCTCCAGCACCCGCACTTCCTGGCAGGTGCTGAGCTCCTGGGAGGCTGAGAGTGCATGCAACAGACTTTTGAGGGCATCAGCCAAGTTTCACCAGTGTTCCCAGGAAACCCTCAGACTAGATCACACCAGCCTCTTGAGAGTGTCCCTTTCCCAAACCCTCTCGGTTCCTGGCATACAACTCACCAGGTAGATGCCACCGCCACCAGCGGCTAGAAGCAGTGATGGTGACACTCTTCATTCTCATGGGGTCCCTGCAGCGGCCCTGCCCTCCCTCCAGCAGGACTGTGCCCACGGCCCAGGGCACTCCAACCTGTCTCTTAATGTTGTGTTTTCATGATGTGGGTCTCCCAAGGTTGTGCTTGAAAAATGTGATTTATCTATGCAATAAAGAACTGGTAAACTTGTGTTTGAAAACCCAATAATTTTTTAAAAACCAGCCAGAAACAAGTGCATCTGTACCAAGAAACTTGTATTTGGAGCCTCGTGCTTTTTTTCATCCTCAGTACACTATAAAGACACAGCTAAAAATAATTTAATTAGTTAAAGTCTTCTATCTAACTAGCACTGTATATGTAGTCTCCAAAAATAAAGCGAAGGTGAAAATGACACAGTTCAGAGTTGGGGAAATCGGAGGTAGAAATTCCTAAGTGACTTTGCTCCAAGCCTGGCAGTGTTGAGAGAGAGCCAGGAGCAGATGTCAGAGCCCCCAAAGCACCGCTCCTGTTTGAAAAGGGCTCCCGTGAAGCTTCGTAAATGGCGGAGACAAAAGCACCGACTTCAGGAGAATGGAAACCCGCCTTTGCAGGGAAGGGAGGCCCAGACCAGAGCCCCCTGGCGAGGCCAAGAGCTGGCCTGGATGTTTGCCTTCACTTCCTTTCTCCTTAACGGTCAGCTGCCAGGAGGGATGTGGTGCTCCGAAGACCTTGTCCCAACCCCTGACCCGGACATCTCAGAAATAACTAGAAACTCAGTGATTCGGGTTCAGAGAAGAGAAGCCACTCTCCAGGACAGCTGACTTCCCATCACAGAGCCTGCGCTGCCTGCGGAAAACACCCTCCTGCGCACAGTCGGAGGGATGGGGAGACGGGGGCCAGGAGATCACCGACGGTGGTTGAAAGGGACTCTGGCCAAAGAGAGGAACTAGAAAGGACCATCTCCAGAATTTTGCACACCAGCTGCCCTCCTAAGGGAAGAAAAGAGTTGATTTTCAAACCTTTTATGTGGGCAGGGCAAAGAGCTTCGCGAGACAGAAGAGGCGGGCCTGACCCAACCCTTCCTGCGCAGAGGTCTCCGTTAGGCCGCTTTATGCTGTGAAGCATTCCATCCTTCGTTCCCTGTCCTCATAGAAGCAGTAAAGTGCTCTGCGAGGGGCCCTGGCTCCTAAGTGCTTCAGCCCTGTGCAGACCTGGTGCCTGGCCTATACCTGGCCGTTTCCACTGGGAGATGCTCTGCACTGCGCATCTTTGGGACTCCAAGGTTACAGGTAAGGGATGGGGGCAAATCAGCAGGATGTGGGCGTTAATACCCAGGCATTTTTCTTGGAAACAGTTTAGATTTTATTAAAATTTCTGAAGTATTTCCTTAACAAATACAGTGTTATACACACTGCCTATGTGCCATGGGATAACAGAGTTGTAGTTGAGACCAGACTTGAATGGAAAGTCCTTTGGAAGGGCTGCGTCACAGCACTCTCT